TAATAGGTGGAAAAGATCATTATAGTCGACCTTACAATAGTAGTGGTTCATCTTATAGTTATGCTCCATTAGCTACACCTGAAAATGTAGATTTAGGTTCTGAATATGCTCAGGTTAGAAGAATTTAAATTAATTTATGTATAAATGTTTTTATATTTATATTATTATTAGGTTAAAGATATAGTACCTGGTCATTATCCATTTGATGGAGATTATTCTTATTCTCTTGTTCAAGATAGTTTATCAAGCTCTAGTAAACATAAAATAAGGCTTCATAGAGAAAAAGGAAGACCCAGTAAATAAAAATAGTAATATTTTTAATAACAGGTTTTTTTAATTTGATACTCTGTCTAGACTATTCAGATTCTGATAGTGATTGGAGTTCAATGGAAAGACGAGCAGAACCATTATTCAATTCTTCTAATGAAACTTTTTCAAAATTAAAATCTCGCAAAACTGTCACTCAAAAACGACCTAAGAAAAAAAGAATTGCTATTCCTGTTGCAACACCTAAGGTTCCTTCATTTAACCCACCATCAAATGGATCCACTATAGGTTTTAGTTCTCTGTCTTCTCAACATGGCACATTTTACTCTGAAGAAAATTGCGAGATTAAATGTAATTTATACATTTTTTTATACAACTGACTTTTATTGTTGTTTATTTTGTTTTTAACAGCTAATAATAATGTTTCATCGCCTCATTTGTTAGTAGCAAATTCTAATTCATCTAGTGATAATTCTGATGAGAAACCTACTGTTTGGGCACATCCTTCTGCTAGACATCTTGATAAAAGATCTTTACGGTATAAAACAAAACAAATGTGCGCTCCTATTCCACCAGTAATATCTCCCGGTGCTATAATTAATACAATGTGTAAGACATAAATATAAATAAATGTTTAGTTTTTATTTTATTTTAATACTGTCTATTTTATTGTCAGCCTCACATATTCAAGAAATTAATTATAATTATGATGAGGAATCGAGTTTAGATATTTCTTCTCCAAGATGCCTAAATTCTCCATCTGTAAGTAGCAAATAA